CACGAGATGGGGTCTGTACGGCTTATTGTTTTAACTGGGTCCGTATAAACACGTCGGGACCCGCTGTTTGAAATCATCTCAAAAAGATACCTTATACCGAGCAAAATATTTGTCATATGATAGAGTTATGTAAGTCCATACGGGAAAAATATTTGCTCTAAGTGCATACTAGTGTTGAGTAAGCCTGAAAAATGTTGATATTGTAATGTAAAGAATATCATTTTATTATTTATTAAATTGGTCCGTGTTTTTTTCTCAAATAAATCCGTACTCTCAAGCAGTTTTGAGATTTTTTTTCTCCTTACCCCCTCCCCCCGTCGTTACGTAGAGTAATGAACGAACATTGCTAAAATTTAAACCCGTGCTCGTATACAAAGCTAAGCACTCAAGTGCCTATTGTTAGCGAAAGACGCGTGTTTTACACAATAGACCATTGGCTTGTGCCAAAACCTTTCTTTTGCCGCTAAAACAAAAATCTCTATTATGGTGTTGGTTTTTGAAACACTACTAGTTTGTGATTTTATTAATTACGAAAGAAATAATAATTTTTTAGAGTATTTGCCCAGCACAATCACAGTCTTCTCACTGTGTATTGAGAAATATCCAAACTAACATTGACGTCCATACGTACGTACGAGAATGCTTTTTCAGAATTCTTTAGAACAGTTCAAACTGTTACTACCACTGACACTATACTATTTACAGATGGTTATAATTGGCATTTCTTTCTTCTTTAATTTTTTTTAATGCTCTGGAATATTGCCAAATGAAAACAAATGATTTACACCAACAAAAAATGCAATGTTAAAAATATGAAGGCAATCGTAATTTCCTTCTTTTTGTACAAAAGCAACACTCATGCATACTGGTGGGTTAGGGTAGATTTCCACAGCTAGTCAACTCACAAATTGACTGATTAATAAAGAAAAGATATAAACAATATTATAATTACCTCCACATTTCTTTGTGACCTGAAGTAGTCCGTCACCTTGATGGCGTACTTCATTGTGGAAATGGAGATTTCTGCAGCGATAGGAGAAGTGTCCTGCCTCCATTCCACCTTGGTTAATGCCTTGTGTAGTACTCCATACAGTACATGGAGAACACCAGCCAATCTATTTGGCAAACATTTAGATAAGTTAGTACTAGTCATATCATATGAACATTACACACATAGAAAATTAAATAACAAAGCTGTAGGTGCAAGGCAGAAACAACCTTTTGGTAAATAAAATTCATTATGTAATAGTTTTTACCATGGTTATGATGGATAAAACACAATTACCTCTAAATATCATTGTGTTTGCTCAGACATCCCATACACATATAGTGTTTTTTGTTGACAAAGAATTCATAATTGATAAGGATAAGGCCTATTTTATTTTTTTTGTTTTTGTTMTATATTTTTATTTTTTTGTTTTATTTTGTTTTTTCCTGATAAACATTGAAACCATTACTCCATGCTTAGCATGAGTTTTCCATTGCTACAATAGTCTTTTAAAGTGCATTCATGAATAAAAGTGAAGGTGTATAAGTTATAAAACATTTTAAAAGCCATGATGGAAAAATAAATACTGTTTTGCTTAGTAATGAGTTTATTATTAATGATACCTCGAATTTTGAGTAAAACATTTTTTTGCAATGATATTCCATGTACAGCTACAACATAAGTATAAGCTCTTAAATCATCATAACACAGCATCCTTACCTCAGAACTGTCCTTCCATCTTTGGAGGACACTTCTTCTAATTCTTGATCGTCTTTGGCAGCAAACTGGCAATTAAGTTTACGTATTATCTCGTCGGCATACAACGTGTATGCTTGTTTAGCCTTCGCTGATAGACTGTACTCATTTATAACTGAATCGTCGAGCATGTGTAGCTGCCATACCTTCTGAGAAGTYGCTGATTGGGAATGTAGCAAACTTCCTTGCCCAATCGTCGACTTCTCGGGTTGGTAAAAGATGTGGTTCTGGGACTGCAAATAACCGAAGATCGAGGAACCCGTACTTTCGTTCGTAAAGACTTGCAACTTGTTTGACAAATTCCTCGTCCTGGGAATAGCCAGCGATGCAAACACGATTCTCGTTGATCTCAAGAGAACAATTCCCGTACTCATATGTGTATGAGCCCATATCCTCTCTACGGTCATACAGTTTATTTAATAAGGTTCTTTCTTCTTAGAAAGGCTATCTAGGAAGCTACTGAGCTCGTCGCTACCAWTGACTGCGATTCCATCGTTGTTAACGAGGTGGCGGGTTAATCCTGATCTAGTATGGTCGCCGACAATGATTTTAGGTGGAGGTTCGTCCAAAGATGCCAATGGCGAGGTCAYAATTAACGCAAACGCATGGGACTTGCCTGCCCCAGGCGGAGATAAGACTACGCTATAGATATTTAAAGGCTCAGAGTACGTGCTCCTTACTTTAACGGTAGATGAAGGCCCCATAAGTGCAGCAACTCTGGTACAGTGTTCCTGCTTCTAGAAACAGCTTCTATCCATTGCTGGATATTAGGAGGGCAAGTTTCCTCGAGATCCAATTTAATGTCCATGGCATTGCGCACGACTTGTTTCGTCGAGAAATCGTTCGTTTTTCCCCTCTTAGCGCCTAGCATGTTTGAAAATTTAGTAATCGTTACTCTGCTACGAAGAGAAGGGATGAAATTACCGTAACATGATTTTTATATAAACAATAGTTTTCCCGTGTTTTCCCCAGTTTTTTTCCAAGGTTTTACAACAGGCAACCCAGCAAGTTGTTTATTCGAACAGAAGAGAGAAAGAAAAAGGAATAAATACCAAAAAGATTAATCAATGAATACAGGAAAAGTTAAAGATTTTTGTCTTTCTTCACTTTTTTTTAGTCCATTTGTTCAGTCTACATATAAACATTTTCAGCAACATCTTCCGGTAACTGACCGGAAGTAGAGTTGGAGCACTACCATTAGTCCTAGAAGCCAGCGAGTACCCAGGCTAGCGGTGTTTCAATGCACGCGTTTTGAATATCGCAGATATAAATTCGTACATGGCAGTCTTGTTTACTATATTCACACTGTTATGGCTTGAGCTTACAATGGCACAAGCGTTTGTTTCTCGCAATGCTTCTCGATATGATCCAGTTGAAGCTGAATCTAGCTCTGAAGATGGCGAGTGTGAATTTCCTAGAGAGTCAGTGGATTCACTAGTTGAGGCCGCTATTCGTAAACATGGCGGAAAACACACATCACGAGTAGCTCAAGAAGATGTATTGCCTGTCTTTGGTCAGGTAAAGCCCGAACCAAGTCAGTTTTTGCGTCCATCGCTGTTGCTGTGGAATCCCACGTTACAATTTCCTGATCTCTTGCTGGATGTGAGATGCCCAAAGTGCAAGAGAGGAATTTTCTGCCAGTTGTTTTTCGAAAAGAAATATTTGAAGAGAACAATTTATAACACCGAGGAGCAGYTAATACTTGTCAGTCAAGTATATGTGTGCCAACAAACAAAGGAGCACGTCTTTGCTGGATTCCATCCACTTATTTTGGATATGATACCAAGCCATGACTTGATACCTTTTGTGCTTTTTCACAAGACTGGTGTCACAAGGCAACTGTTTAAATTTATTGTCAACGGGGTGACATGCGGTCTCACATTTAGTGAAATTGAAAACAATATTGTGGAACAATACTGGCACTCACATCGTGTTTGATGACATCGTGTTTCCTCATTTACTTTGCTGACCATGAACAATACTTTACCAATTGCATGGCTCAGCAAATGGCCGATGAGTGGATCACTCTTGACCATACATTCAAAGTCGCCTCGAACATAGGTCTAAACGACCCAGATGGACGTTGAGCCAAGCAGTTCTCTTCGTTGATGTGTATTCTCAATGAAACTGGGAAAATTCTTATACAAATTATTAATCTGCTAATTGTTAATAATTTCTTATGCATATTTCATATTTATATATTTTATTGTTATTATTGTATTTTAGATTTATCTTGATSGCCCAGTGGTAGATTAGCCTCTGACTAAACTGGTTAACCATCATTAAATAAAGTTTTTATATTATTATTATTATATTRTTATTATTATCGTTATTRTTATTATTATTCTTTCCTGGAAACTAACTGAAATGCTTCTGGCTCTGAAATCACGGCATTCCAGTAATTCTGTAGCACTAAAAGGTGCATGCATTGACAACTGTTGTCATTGGAGAGGAAAACTTCAAATGTCTTTGGAGAKTGTTGTGTTTGATCTTTTTCATGCCATACAACGCATCACAAACAAAATTCCCAAAAGGCACATACTTAGAGGAGAGTGTGTTAAAGATCTCCGTCTTGTTTTTCGATGAAGAGAAATGGAAACACCAGACAGGAATACCATGCAGCAGAATCTTCAATGCTTCATCAAGAAATGGAAGCATGTAAAGAATGGAAGTGGTGTTCATGTCTTAAATGAAACAGCGGTGAAGGAATGCATGAAGCTCGAGAAACATATTGTCAATGGCTGCTGAGTGGAATTCCTCCACACATTTCAACCAGTAGAAATGAGCGTCTACACAGGACACTCAAATCACAAGTCATCAACTGCAAGTTAGGAGTTTCAACTGCAGTTGCTATTTTAAGTGTTGTATTTTACAGACACAATATGAGATCTGATGTTTTTAATGGAGCTGTGCAGCCTGTCTTAGTGCAAAAGAACATTTTTGCAAGGGACATTCATGTGCCCATATCCAATGAGAAGTTTGGTATTGGATTGTTCAACTCATCAGATGATTATATCTACAATACGTCTTGGAACAGGGAACATTGTGATAGCAGCACAATTTCAGCTGCCATTGAAGGCCCTCTCATTTCAAGTGAATGCAATACTGATGAGAAAAAAATTGTGGATTCATTTCTGTCAATGAATTTTTTTGATGAGAAAATGTCAGGAATTGCTGATGATTATATCCTTTTTGAAACAAGTTTCATTCCATTTCTTCAGAGTGTTTTGACTGTGATAAATCATGACGAGTTAAGTAATAGATATGGTTCCCTGGTGAATGCCAAGACTAATGGACTGTTAKCGAATTGCTTCAACCCTATTAGAGAAAGTGATTTTATCAGCTTGTTAGATGCTATTTCAATGCATATCAGTTCTTTGACACACCAGCCAAAGTACACAGAGTATCTATCTCAAATTGGTGTCGTTGAAATGAATCAGAGTGATGTTAAATCCGTGCTCATTGAGAAGTGCACAAAGCTACAAGATGCCAAGAAGGAAGAGCAGCYTCAACTTCTTTCAGATTGTCTAGGAACTGTATTTGCAGTTATCACTAAGTGTGATGATTTTCCCCTGATCCCTATTTTTCCAGAAAAGAGAATACCACACTCTCCATTGCTCTGCTTATATTTTTGTGAGGCTGATGGTTATATTCCAGTATCATTGCAAAGAAGAGATAACACAAGTGCTGGAATTGAGAACAGAGACACGTTTTGCACTTGTGGGAAAACTCACAAAACAGCTAACCCTAAATGTGTACAGGTAGAGGGGAAGAAGTATCCATGCAGATGTAAATGCTTTTTGAATGGACTTGCYTGTACTCTACGGTGCCAATGCAATGGATGTCAGAATTCTAATGGTGCCAGACCTCAAAGTGTCTCAAACAACATTCTAAGAAAAGGCAAAGGTTTCAGTATCATAGCCAGGTTGTGTTGGAATCGATTGAAAAGGGGCTAAATTACATGGTTGCAAACCAGGAGGTCCTCTCACTTGGTGCTTGGACTAAGACTGAGCACTTTTTATTTGAGGCAGTTATTTCCCATTTAAAAAGAACAMAAGCACAAACTGAAATAACCCTGAATGATGTTCTCACCATATACAACAAAATCACTATCTGCTTGATACAACTCTCCCCAGTCCCTCTGTCCTTAAGCACCAAATCTGAACTGCAAGTCAAGTCTAAGATGCAAGTTCATGACAAAGTCCTTGTCAGATTTCAGGAAAAATATAAGCAGGTGATAAGTTCACTATTTACCATTTGAACATTTCTTCACAATAATAATGTTGAACTTTGTACGATTGCCTGAACTTATTTGGTTTGTCAGAGCATAATCTTATAGAKATATATATATCACGATAGAGGATCTGTCTTCCAGGTACTTTTTTACAATTTGCCTACGTTATACATATATTAAAAACAATGCAAGTTATTAGTCAAGAGACATTTCATAAAAAATAAAGTTTTTGATCAGATTTATAAAAAACTATAGCCTAAGAAAAACTCAGATAAATGCATAAAATAAATCAAAGATATAGCTCCAGTAAGAATATTACATAATAATAATCAATATATCATTTGATATCAAGGAACAATATTGTTGTTGTTAAAAAAGTTTAATGACAGATTAATTTGACATTCAATTAATTTTGATCTTGTCTGTATAAAGAAATGTTTTTTTTTTCATCATGAGAGTTCTAAATGCAGTAGCTTTAATGCACTTGAAGCATGACATAGCACTAAATCATGAAAATACTTTTGTTTGGTCTGATTAGTGCTATTTTGCATTATATTATTAGCACTATTTTATGCTTTAAGTGTGTGTTCACTCTAGATGACAAATTATCTAAATACAGTACTATACTATTCATGAGAAATGTTGTTTTAATAATCATATGTTCATAAAGCATTTCAATAAAAGCTAACCTTCGAATTACTTTCGCTTGTATTCATATTGTTTGATTTGTGCATCACAGTTCAGTTTATTAAGAAGTTATGACTTGATGTTGAAATGGAATAGTGCAAATGGATTTTTAAAATAAATATGGTAGTTTCATGGAGTAAAATACATCCACTATAGCTGGAATACAATAGACATCAAATACAAGTTTTACTTAATTGATCCAGTATTTAAAAACTCCTAACAGTGAAATTATCATAAGAATTTCTGCAAATATAACTTGAAATGATGCCAAATTCAGGAGTCAAAATGCTGTGGAAAGGTGCACGATCAGAGCGATAATACCGCTGAATAAGCACAGCAATACAGTGCTCTAATAACAAGAAACTTGGAAAATTGTTAAAAGTCAACTTCAAGCAGACACTAGGTGATTTAACGGGCTCGGATAAGCTAATATTAAGCTTAAATGATATGTAATAGCAAAAACGTTATGTTCAAATAAGTTTTATAAGTTTAAACAGCRCTAGCAGATCACAGACGGAAAGAATCAAACAAATTTTAATTAACAAATTGAATATTTTACAATCATCACACTTACAACAATCGCAGATGAATGGGTTTGTTTCCTCCTACCATGAGGTTGAAAGACAAAAGGTACGAGTCGGTGGTACGACAACTGTTTTTCNCATATGTACAAACAATTCTTCGTTGATGGACTCATTGATCAGCTTCTTTTAGCCGTTTTTTAGCTTTTAGAATTCTTCTCTTTTCAACTCGGCCATAACTGCGCATATGCATAGTTTTGTTATATTGGTATACCTGTGTACCCCAAAGTGTCCTAGCAAGCTACCTTGGTTTATTTATTGGTATACCTGTGTACTCCAAAGTGTCTTAGTGTCCTAGCAAGCTATCTTGGTTTATTTTTTGATATACCTATGTACTCCAATGTGCCCTAGTGTCCTAGCAAGCTACCTTGGTATATTTGATTCATAAATTAATTTACAAGTAGTCGCTGAATTCSTAAGACYGGTATTAGTCATTTGAGGAGGGGGTKTAAGGATTTTGGGYGTAAGCTGGTCTTAAAGGTATGTGAGYTAAGTCTTGGTATTAGGAACATCTGGCAAGGAATATTTGGGTCTGTTACATGGAGGGATGCTAACTGCGATCCTAACTGTATAAATAGCTAACCTCAAACTAAAGATGAACAGTTTAAGTGGGCGAATGTTCTTGCAACAACAATAACAACAACACAAACTATTGATCAAATTACAGATTACAAATTACTCATCAACACTATACATGTAGGCATTAAATTAGATRCAAACTGAACAATKTTACACTTCTTGATTGTTTGTTAAAATGGAGTCATTGGTCCAATAACTTTAAAAACTGGTATTGTTGTGCTCATGAATACATTTTAAAATTATTTTTGCTTTTTTTTATTTACCTTTTTGTCAGAATCACTGCACCTCTTGAATGCATCGTTCAAGGTAAAGGACAACATGGTTGGAATTTATAAAGACAGCTCCAAAACCAGCCAATTTTTGGAAAAAGCATGGAAGTTGACTAAAGTGGAGGAAACTCAGTGAAGAAGAGATTTTAAAGTAGTAACTGAAGTATAAAATAATAATTATGGACACATTTTGAACATCATAGTTTGCATCATATGATTAATATTTCAAACTTCCCATTGATATATCAAAAACTTGCTTTTTTAAAAAATATTATTTTAAGATATTATTTTTTTGTATAAAATAGGTTAATACATGACCAAGGCAAGTAATTTTAATGCACAATSGTGTAACACTCTATAATAGACCTGTATTTCCTATATAAAATGTACAGGAAAATGTCTTTTTTTAGGTTGACAATCTTTTTAAGCTTGAATTAAATTGCAAGTTGTTTCGGTTAATTAATCAAATTCTTGCCATGTGTTCAGAAAAAATAATTTGGTACGAACCGAAGTAAATTGCTGTTGGATACGGACACTTAATTGAATTCTTACCTTGTGCTACAAAAAATACTTTGGAAACTGCCAAAATACTTTACACATAGACTCTGTTGATTATGTCAGCTTTTTGTATATATAAAGAGAWATTGTCCTTTCCAATTAACTTTGACTTTTTTATGTCAAAGCATTTAGTTGTGTACCAGGTTTTGAAATGTAGTAAAAAGCATATGTTATATGTTATATTTGTTACCATGTATCCTTGGTAGAATTCTTCATAAATAAGACGAAATGTAACATTTTGTTATTTTTGGTTAATACAATATTTTAT